GGGACTCAGAACGGGAACGGGAACGGGCAGTGGTTTGGGGCAGCACATCGACCTAGGCAAGTCCGAGCCTTTGTGGCGTACCTGAAGCAGCGCGACTAGCGGACGCGACGCGACGCGACGCTCACAAAGGGGCGTGGTGCGCCTAAGGCAAGGGGACATCTCCTTGAAACGTGAGCGCCAAAACCCCAAGAGGGACCAGGAAACAGCACCTGTTCCAACGGTCCTCTTGGTAAACAAACACGACCTTTGTTTTCGAATCGGTTGAAGTGATGGGAGAGCCAGGCAGCGTGGTATGGCCACCTGAAAGAGTAGGTTTCCTCTTCAAGCCAGTGGTTCAGTGATCACCAATTACCTGGCTTACTTGGGGTCACAGCAAAGCCTACATAAACCTTCATAGCAACTAGACATCCTCCCCGGAGAACTCTGAGTCTTCACAGTAGATGGCCGAAATCCTGCACCACCGTTCAGGATTTCCTGGAATGATTCGATGTTATATATTCCACTGCAAATGCCAACAAACACTATCGTTTCAACCATGGTTTCTTGGCTGGTGTGAACGGTTGTGGTTCATCACTCTGCGCTTCCTCCTTGAAGACGTCCCTGCCTTTCCCTCTTCGCGGTTTGGTTGGAGGGCTCGAACCGGAGCTCCGGCGACCAAAAGGGCGGCCGTCTTCGGCGCGGAATTCGAAAGCGGCGGGGGCCTCCACATGGACATCTGAAAACTCGTGATGCTCCCCTGCAAACTAAATTGGTAGGAGCCCGAAAGGAAGTCCATCCCCCTCAGAGGGTGGTTTCTTCTAGCTTGTGTAGGGGAGTATGTTCTTAGTTCTTGTCATTTTGCAGAGAGCTAGCACGCTAAGGCTTGGAGAAAGGTTGTATCCCCTACGAAGCCACAGTCAACCTTGAGGACGTCAGAAGAGAAGCTTTTGCATCAGAAACGTGGCTTGGTCACGTGCCATGAAAGGGCCTGCCATCTTAGGAGTGTTCCAAGCCAAAATTCGGAGCCCTTTCTTCGGTATCCAAGGCACATACCGGCGCCCATGAGCGATTTCTTGAGCGGGTTGTTCTTTTTGCGGACTTGCAGGTTTGGGGTTTGGACAAGGGAAGCGCAACGGGACCTCTTGGTGATTTGTCGGGCAAGAAAATCAGCTGTAGGAATTTCTGCAAGGCAAACCAGCCACCAACAGGGAGTTGGGCCCACTTGCAGATTCGTTTGTGGCTAGTTCGAAACGTATGGAAGATGCCTTCAAAATGTCAGGGATAGAGGAAGTGTATATCATAGGTGTCTTTTCGGGTTGGTTTGGTTAGACGGCACTGATCTAGATTATATTCCATTTACCAGGGCCATCAGTTTTTGTAGATTTTCCCACTCCTCCAACTTTCTTCCAAAGCGATGACTGCAAGTCCCGAAAAACCGCTGATTCCCGATCTTCAAGTACTTGACTTGTGTTCTTGCGTAAGGCTGAAGCACATTCCTGACATCAGGTAACCCTTTGTTGGTGGCTTGGATTTGGATTTGAACCCTTGGTTCTTGCAGGGACCAAACGTACCAAACCACCAAACCTCCAATTGGTGGTTTGGAGGGAAGCTGATACCTGACAAACCCCACCGACCGCTGCAACTCGTGGTGCGATTCGGGAAGCAACAAAAAACAAGAAGAAAACAAACAGGAACAACCAAAAACAAAACAAACAAACAAACAAACAAACAAACAAACAAACAAACAAACAAACAAACAAACAAACAAACAAACAAACAAACAAACAAACAAACAAACAAACAAACAAACAAACAAGCAAGCAAGCAAGCAAGCAAGCAAGCAAGCAAGCAAGCAAGCAAGCAAGCAAGCAAGCAAGCAAGCAAGCAAGCAAGCAAGCAAGCAAGCAAGCAAGCAAGCAAGCAAGCAAGCAAGCAAGCAAGCAAGCAAGCAAGCAAGCAAGCAAGCAAGCAAGCAAGCAAGCAAGCAAGCAAGCAAGCAAGCAAGCAAGCAAGCAAGCAAGCAAGCAAGCAAACAAACAAACAAACAAACAAACACACACACAACAAAACAAGAAACACACACACACACACACACACACACATTTCCTTTTTTTTGCACAACAAACCAACAAGAAAAGCAGATTCGCTTCGCAGCTTCACGGCTCACTGGCCATGAAGGGCGAGTGGGACATTGACTGGTCATGGAGCTGTAGCCTCGAGGCCGTCTCCCGATGTACTTCCTCACAGACTGACCGAGCGGGTGGGGTGGGGTGGGGTGGGGGGATAGGTACGAACGAAGAAACGTGAGGAGGGCCGTTGGACGTGCCTTCTTTCTGTGACTTTTGTGGGGGACTTTCCGCGTGTTTTTGGGTTCTGGATGTGCAGTCATTTGTACATGAAGGGTATACAAGCATCTCTTCCCCGGGGGAACCAGGAGTGCCTACCCACGACCACTTGGCCTTACCCAGTGACATGGGTTTGTCTCACGGGCGAGCCTCCAAGTGGTGGGGTTCTCTTGGTTTCCTCAACAATTCTCCCAAAGTGGGCCTCTTTGGATGAGCCATTTTTTATTTTTTATTTTTGGTGCAGGGAAGCCAACACGACAGTTTCCGAGACCACCAGTGACTCCAAAAACATGGACCCATGCCCTGATTTCCGGCTTTTTGGCAGGAGGGCGTGAAGTTCGATACCTCCCAGAAAAAATGAGTCATCTGACTTAGTGTCTGTGCGTTGAGTTGGAATCACTTCAAAAGTGGTTGGTGGTTGCCTGAGTTGTGGAATTCTGATGTCCACCATCTCGGGTCCCTGAAACAAAGCAAATATGTCGCCCAAGGCATGGGGAATATGCGGCTTCGGCTTCCATGAACGAAACGCATCGGACCGCTTCGGGCGCATTTCTGGCCAGGGCCCTCCGTTGTTTGGATGCATTTGTTGCGTGAGTCTTTTCCTTCAGGATTCCCTCCACCACTTGATATACTTTTTGATAATAGTCTACAATGAGCAACTCTTTCTAATGTTAATCTAAAACCAGAACCTGTACGCCACCAACAACATGAACCTCAAATTCGTGTACATCACAATTTTCCACTATCCTCATTCTATCAATTACTTAGACTTATTCAACTTCTTTGAGGGACACCTGGGCCCCTGCCACTCAACCCAAGCCTTTTGGCCGGAGCGATCACCGAACTGCCAGGATTTCCGCGAATTCGACCCGGACGTGCAGGCTTGCCGGCTCTCGAAAGCATGGACCCGCAAAAACCCGATCCATCGTTTTGATTTTTTTTGCAAAAGGGGCATGCCTTGGGCTTCATCTTGAAATTTGCTGAGCTACAGCAAGGGAACCACATCGAACCACAAAACGGCATGACAGATTTCCATGCCTCTTTGGTTCTGTTCATTGCAGGGCTGCAAAGAAAGTCACTCACTGGCATACCGTTTTGGGTTCACCCAGGTTTTGGCTGTGCGTACACCATCCCCTGTAATTTTGTGTAGGCTTCGCTTGTTTTGGCAGGCTCCGTCCATGGTTCGGGGGACATGCGAATGACTTCCTATTGCAAGTGTGAAGCCATGCCCATGTGGGAATGTCTCTTTTTGAGGGTACCCGTTTTGGGGTGGTTTGAAGAGGGACACCAAACTCATTTTGAGTGTAGCCTCAAGAACAAGGCAGCCGGTTTTGTGCAACACGTTGGGACATGGGTGGCTCGTCTTTTTTGTGCTGGTAACCCCCTCCCCTTTTTGTGGTTTTATTGGGGGAACCAACAGGACAGCCCACCATTTTGGGTCCAAATCCTTTAAAAGACCACCCAAATCAACCAAAAGTCCAAATCCTGAAAAGACAGAGACCCCCAAATCAACCACAAGTCCAAATCCCAAAAAGAAGAGGACCCCCACATAGACAAAAAGTCGAAACCTCAGTCTTTGGGTCGTGGTCGTCGTGGCCGACGTCTCTCCGCTTTCTGTCCCAGATTGGCAGCCCGCGGTCGCTGGCGGCCTGCGATGCCCAGGGCATCTTGCCCAAGGCACCGCGCGAAGTGGTTTGGGCGAACTCTTGACTGCTATTGGGTCGGATCTTTAGACTCTAACTTTTTGGGCAGTCAAGGGGTTTTCCACTAAACCCACAAAAAGTCAAACTTCTTGCAGAGGGTTCAACAAAGAACTGGGCGCTTTGTTTGGGGGCGGTGGTTGGGTTTGGGGGAGTGGCTGGAGGGAAGAGGGTGGCTGGAATTAAGCAGAGGGTTCCCGGGGTTGGTTTGGGGCTTTTTGGTTTGGGTGTTGTTGGTTTGTTTGTTGGTTTGTTGGTTTTTGAGACCCCTCGATCCGTGTTCTGTTTTTCCAAACTGGGCAACTGAGGGTTGGTTTGGCGATGAAAGAGGGTGGCTGGAGATTTGGTTAGTGGGTTCCATGTGAAGTAGAGGCTACCCCTCTAGGTAGCCCTGTGATCCACGCTTTTAGTTTTGAAGGGTGCTTCCCTTGGTCCCGGGCGGGTCCTCTTCTTTTTTTGCCCCTTTTGGGGCTTTTTGTGAGTGTCTGTTGGCTTTGGAGTTTCTTGTTTTTGTTGTTTTGAAGGGACACCCTACTGCTCCGGGTGCTGTTTTTTGTGTGTCTTTTCTCCATTTAGCGAGCCCATCTCGAGGATAGGATGGACCCCGCCACCCCCTTTTGCTTGGTCTTTTGGCGTCTGCCCTTTTGGATGGCATTCCCAGGGCCAAAGTCGCCCACTTTTGGACACAGCCATGTTTCTAGGGGTACCTTCCATTTCCATTCTTTCCAGGGATCCTTCTTTCCAGCAAACCATCAAAAACCCAGGGGAAACAGATCCGGTTTTTGAAAAGAACGATGGTTGAAAAGACTGGACAAGGAATCAACCCCTAGAATGTCGGCCCGAGGAAGAGACTAGGTCCCCCAGCTAGGTGCCCTTTTACCCCTTTTTTGGTTGGGAGGGTTCAACCCTACTAACATCGACAAAACAGCAAAACAAACATCGGGTACCAACTTATTCTAGCCTCTCAAATCTGGAGGGCCTAGGAGACCAAAAGTCGGGGCTGCGGTTTCCTTTCTTCGGGGGTTCGGTTTGGCGCGCGCCTCGCTGTTTTTTGTTTCTCAGGAGCTGGCCTACAAGCCCCTGGAGCTCTTCCAGCTGCCAGGCGAAGCGGGCCTTTTGGGTGAGAGGGGCAGTGCAGGGCATGTGACACTGGATGGGATGGCGATCAATTCGGTATTGGAATATATACATATGTATACATACACACATATATATATATATAGATATGGACATATATATATATATATATGTTGTTATCCATATATTTTGACAGATATATGTGTACATGGTGCAGCGTCCCTAACCCTCCCCCCTCCCACCCCCCCCCCCCGTGGTCCTGTGGTCCTGTGGTTGGGTTGTAGCGCAGTGTTGGTTTGGGATGGGTCTAGGGTTGGATGGGGGCTGGTTCAGGGTCAACCCCCCCCTTGCCCCTGCTGGGTTGGGGTTGGCTTGGGGTGGTTTAGGTGGTTTGGGGGTAGTTTTATGAGGGTTGGATTCGAGCTGGTTTAGAGTTGGTTTAGGCTTGATTCGGCTTGTACGTTAGGATTGGTTCAGGGTGGATAGATGCGTTGAAGTGCCGGGATGCGGCTGTGGTTTAGGGATGGTTGGGGGATTGGGCCGGGGCTGGGGGAAGGGGCCTCTGGGATACCACCTTTGACGATTTTGTGGACTAGTCCCCCTCCCCCACACAAAGCTTGATCATGTGAGTGTGGCCAGCCAACCCCTCCCAACGCGTATGACATCACAACCAAACCTACTTCTTTTTGGGGCAAGACCGTCGGCAAGACCTGAGGTAGTTTGCGCCCCTGCAAATAGATATGACACCGAAGGGTTGCAGGGTTCCATGTTGATCTGCGGGAGAGTGGTCGCTACTTTGGGCTACCATGAGAAGGGATTCTGTTGTGGACACCCAAGCAATGCTGCACAGGGCTCGGTTGAGGTGATCTTTTCGGCTCTCCGAAGAAAGCTGAGGAAAAAGGTGCGCTTGGAGGAATGCAAGGATTGCACGGTCTTCAGCCCAGAAGCTTAGGCTCCGAGAGGCTCAGGGGAGGCCCAGAGCTTGTCGCCGGCATCTGTCGCTGAGCTTGTTGCTCGCATCTGCTCCCTCTTGGGTGGTGTTGCGAGGGCGTGGCCTCCGGTTTGTAAGTCAAGCCAAACAGAAGCTGCTCAAGGGCCAAGCAAAACATGGGCCCCAAACTGAGCCAAGGTCTAGTAAAATTCCCCGACACTTCAAGTCGAGCTTGCAACCTCCTTCATTTAGGGTGTTGGTTTTGTGGGGGTTCTTGCCTGCAAAATCGCCAAGTGTCCCAACTGAGGAAAACAGCCCAGAAATTGTCCGTTCGCCACCAAAGCAAGCGCATGTTGGGCTTGCCATCCCCAGCCAACCCGTATCTTTCAGCTGAAGTGGAGTGGGGGCGGGGGGTGTAACACACCCCACGTCATGGTTTACACACCCTGATGGGGCTCCACGGCCCAGAGCGCGGTCTCGAATTCTCGAATGCGGCTCGATCAACGCTGGCCTTCAATTTGCATGTTTGAGCCACCGCTTGCGCGATGCGGGGTTGGCATTGGGCTACATGCTCAGTGTGATGTCAATTGTACTTGAGGTACAGAAGATCGCAAAATAAACACATGATCTTCTGTTTGTTGACGTGTGTGGTGGTTCCATGTTCACTTGAAGGGAGAAGAGTCCTGACCGTTGCTCACCATCCCAGTCTCCTGCACGAGAATGCAGGAAGATGGGGGTCGACTGTGTGAGCAACGAAAGCTCTCGCCGCTCTTGGCAAAGCAAAACCGGAGAGGTGTGCAAAGGCCGAACTTCTTTTTTTTGACACCAAGACTCAAGTGCTTCTCTCCAGGGTCGGGAAGTCGGGAAGCACCAGGCCGTGGATTCGGCTTGTGAAACGTTGGATGCCAGGCCTCGACCCCCGAATCGTGCAGCTCCGCTATGAGTTCATGGAGGCCGACGGCGGGGTTGAAGAAGGGAGCTGGGAGCCGACTGGTTTGGTTTTCGCTTGGTTTGTCCAGGACTGGAAGGGAATCTCACACGTCCTTATGTGCCCTCCCTGTTCTTGCAAGGACTAGGAAGGATCAACTGTTTCAGTTTCACGACCGTTCAAGAAGGCTTTTCCGCAAAGTGGCGCAAAGCGATTTCCTGACCTCTGTCCCACCAGAACACGTTTTAAACAGCCACCGAGAGAGGTCTAGGGGTTTGTTTCTAATCAAACACACAAAACACACATGTCGGAAGCCAGCGTCATGATTCACTTGAAAAGGAGCCGCATGTCCTACATGAACTTGTTCTAGTTCTGTTTGCACCCTTGTTCATCAATCATTATGGGAGCATCGATCATCGATCAGTAGATAAAAACTGGCAACATACGTTTGCTGGAGTCTCCTCCAATATCGACATATTATTGCATATAACTATGTCTATATATATATATATGAAAGGGTTGACAAAGTCTGAAACAGAATCAGAACATCTTGTGTTCCCTGAACTTCATTTGGCGGGTTTTTCGACCTGGAGGGGTCGCCGGGTTTGTGCAAATCAGAAACGGACATTTTGACCAAGGGTTCCCTTTTATGGCAGACCTAAACCCAGTTTCCCTTTCGCTTGGGGTAACATAGAATGGCAACTTCTCGCTGGCTTTTTCCTTCTAGTCTTGCGGACTGGCCGCGGCCTGTTGGTTTCCCTAAACTGGAAGCTGATTCGACGACCTCGGTTTCCTCCAGCGAAAGGCGAGCAAGCGCGCAAGCAGGAAGGCAGGGAAGCAAGCAACCAAGCCAAGCCAAGCCAAGCCAGCAAGCAAGCAAGCAAGGAAAGAAAAGCAAAGTTAAGCAAAGGCAAAGCAGCACAAAGCAAAGCAAAGCGACGTCAAGCTAAGCAAAGCTAAGCAAAAACAAGCAAAGCAAAAACAAGCAAAGCAAGCAATGCCAAGCCAAGCCAAGTAAAGCAAAGCACAGCAAAGCAAGCAAAGCAATGCGAAGCAGCGCAAAGCAAAGCCAAGCAAAGCAAGCAAGCAAGCAAAGCAAAGCTGAGCCAAGCTACGCCAATCAAAGCAGCGCAAAGCAAAGCAAGCCAAGCCAAAGAAAGCTAAGCTAAGCAAGGCACAGCAAAGCAGAGCCAAGCAAGCAAAGCAAAACAAAGCAACGCAAAGCAGCGCAAAGCAAAGCAAGCCAAGCCAAGCAAAGCAAGCAAGCAAAGCAAAGAGCTGAGCCAAGCTAAGCTAAACAAAACAGCGCAAAGCAAAGCAAGCCAAGCCAAGCAAAGCTAAGCTAAGCAAAGCAACGCAACGCAACGCAAAGCAAAAGCAAGCAAAGCAAAGCAAAGCAAAGCAAAGCAAAGCAAAGCAAAGCAAAGCAAAGCAAAGCAGCGCAAAGCAAAGCAAAGCCAAACTACGCCAAGCAAAGCAAAGCAAAGAAAAGCTGAGCCAAGCTAAGCGAAACAAAGCAGGGCAAAGCAAGGCAAAGCAAAGCAAAGCAGCGCAAAGCACAACAATCAGGCAACGCAAACCAAGTAATCAGACATCCCGCCTGCTCGCCAACCAACTGCGGCTTGTGCAACCAACCGCGCCGACTCCGTACCTCCGACAGGCACGCAGGCAGGACATGCTGCAGGCTGCGCGGGCCACGTGCGGAGCCCGGAGATTTCTTGTGCCATTGTCGTGGGCGCTTTGGGAAAGCCACAGTTGGGCTGTTGGGCTTTTGGGCTGTTGGGGTGTTGGGCTGCTGTTGGTTCACAAACGGGATGAATCATTCTGGTTGAGGAGCACTTTCATGAGAAGTGGCTCAGTTGGAACAATGTTTTTGAGTTGACCTTCGGATGAAGATGCCGAGAAGGAGAGAAGATCGAAGCTGAGGCCGGTACTACCAAGCTACAGCCCTGCCCAAGGCGTTGAAGATATGCTGGATGGATTGAAGGATATCCACAGTGGGGCATAGATCTGCTAACGAGAACAGAATGATCATCCTGTATCACAAATTCAGATTGAGGAGGACCTTCATGAGAAGTGGCTCAGCAGGTGCAACAATGTCTTCAGTTGACATTGAAGACAGGAAGGCAAGTGCGAAGACAAGTCGGACATCTGGTGGCACTGCGGATGGACGAAATCCGTTCGCACCGAAGAAACCATGGTTCACACCACTGTTTGTTGGTATTTATGTTGGGGAATCGAATCGTTGGGTTTCTGAACGGTGGGGCGAAATGGATTTTGTCCATCACGGAATTTACTGTAAACCTTTTGGTTTCCCCGTGTTTGGCAACCAGTTTTAGTAAAAATCCCCAAAAGTGATCACCTTTTTATTTCTGGGTCCAAACCGGCAACTGAGCAAACACAACGATGTGTCACCTAGGACGCTTGTAGCGAATTCAGGGAAGCCGGGCATAGGCCTCTTCGGGACCTGTCCCCAGATTCAACCAGAGAAGGTTGCGGGTACCAACATGCAGGTTTACATGGGCATGAATATTCAGGGACCCTTTGGCCACCCAAAATGGTGGGCGGTAAAAAGCAAAAAGGGTCCACCCCACGGTCAAAGCAACAGGTAGGAGCCCTGTCCTGATGTATTTCCCATTACGGTCCAGGAAGCTCACCTTAATTGGCATGTACAAACAACAAGCCAGCAGGGATGATGTTTGGTTTGGCTATATAGCGTTATTTAGTGTGGCCCCCCTCTCCCCGGTCGTCGCCCTCCAAGTATCAGTAGTGACCTGTTTGCTGTCTACTGTAGCGACGGGGATGGCATGTTGGTGAGTATGGCACTCACCAACATGCTAGGACATTCGGTGCTCACCAAATTCCCACATCGAAGTCCAGGAAAAGAGCAGAGTTTTGCTGTAAACAACCCGAGGCATCACTGTTGCTCTTTCAAGTAATTTCAAAGGCAGGGTAGTCCTGTTTAGACGATTTTGTTGGAAGCAAGCATATCTCTGTTGGAGGTACGCCAAACTGGTCCCACAAGACACCCTGTGCATTTGGAGTTTGACACGTATGGCATCCACAACATCCCCAAAAAAGTTTCTTGAGCGAGAGGTACATATCCACCATGATCCGTATGACACGGGCCTGATCAACGAACCACCAGAGGGGGCATCCAATACCCACTTCCTGAGTTGCTGGACTTTAGTCGCTTGCCGGCTTTGAACCTTTTAGTGGCAAATCAAAACATTTGTTGGTCAACTCAGGAAGTGATACCCTCCCATTCGTTACATGGAAGGCAGCAAAGGGTCCCAAAAGAGGCAAGTGGTCCAAACTGGGGCGACCCATAGCGACGGTGAGGGCTACCATTATTTTCCTTGGTTTTGTTTCAACATCTTTTCTTTTGTGAACAGAAGGCAAAGCAGAACAAATTGGGTTCTACCCCTTCCTTTTTGTTTCACTCACACCAAACCGCGTTTTGTTTTTTCTTCTTTTTTTCTTTCGCAGAACGCCAACAGACACAATCCATGTTTTCCTCCTTGTAGTTCAAGGGTCGGCAGAAAAGCAACACACACACACACACGTCGCCAAACAAAACGATGGGATTGGCGCGGTGCAAGGCGGCAGGTCATCATCGAGCTGGCTGAAGAGGCCGAACGCCCGGCGCCCAAACGGAGGACTCTCGGGATCCGGGACGGCCGGGTGTGAGCGGTTTGTTTGGAGACGGTATCCCGCATTAAATAATCATGTTATTAGTTATTATTAATTGCATATATATATATGTATATGTATATATATATATATATGTATTCATGTCTTTTTAATGTTAACAATAAAGAAACACAAATAAATGAAAAGCACAATAATCACAATTGGTGGATTGGGGGTTTGGATTTGGTTTTGAAGCCCTGGTTCGAATGTAAAGGATAGATGGGAAACCACTTCCCAACAGATCCAAGCCACAGATCCAAAACACCGATTCGAGTGAAGCTGATTTAGAGATGGTTTTCCCTTTGCAGCCATTTGCTTGAGGATTTTGTCCCGACCAGCTTGGGAAGAAGATGTTTGAAGGGAATCTATCACGGGAGATAGTTGTCTCATGGCAACATCAGGGGAGGGAGAGCTGAAATCTGTGTTTGGCTTTGATCTCGTGGGAAACCGCACAACAGCGTGCAATCCTTTGCTTTTGGGTGGGTCCAAATACAATGCCCTGATGTTTTTTCCTCTGGCCACTGGCGGGGAAAAGGAAGGACACGGCTTACGCAACCTGACATGTCGCGACTGGTGGCGACTTGGAATGGTTTCCCACATGCCCAGCTTGACCTGGCTGTAGGCTGTGGCTGGACCCGGTAACCTTGAACTTTTGCCGCACGGGAGCCACAATCAAAGCCCGGGTAGATGAAGGTTAGTAAGGGGCAGTCCCAGCCAGAAATAGTTGCGGCCGCCTTCTTAGTTCTTTACATGGTTCTGGGTAGACCATTTTAGTAACGGGTTTTGATTGTGACTCACGTGCCACACTGTTCCGTTAGTTGTATGGCCATTTTTGGGTTCCATGAGGAGTGTCCTGCTCAAAGGCTCCTTGTTGCTTTCAGAGAAGGCAACCAGAGGTTTCTCTTTAGTTTGCCACTTGAGCAGTTTCCCAGTTTCCCCGGTTGCGTGGGGACTTCACCTCAATGTGTTTTTTGCTTTCCGTTTAAAGCTGCTCCCTTTCGTTTTCGCCCCTCCGGCCTGCGCAATGCTCGGCAATGCATCCACTCTTTACAAGTCGAACGATCTTTGGTCACCAAAGTTTTGTGGCCTCAGCGCCAGACTTACCTCACCTTTTGGAACGCCCAAGATGAGTTTCTCAATTTTCCCTTACTGGCACTTAGTTTGCTCGCTTTTTAGCGAGTCAAAATCTTTTCAACTCGGCTCGGCTGTGAGGGAATGAAGTGCTCGCAACCAAGCCGTAGACCAAGGACAACTTCCATTTCCTTAAGAGGATTTGTCCCCTTGTTGGTTTTAAAAGGAAGTTATCACTACTGGAAGTTTTTTTTTCTTTTTCTTTTTTTCTTCAGGGGGCTTAAGCACATGGAAGACAACTTTTGTCAAGCCGTCAGACTGTCCTGTTTCGTGGGTGCCCAGAAATCCTTCAACTTGCCACGGCAATGAGGTTTGAAGGGACTTGGCGCAATTTCTCAGGGTATCAATTTTTTTCGATGCCAAACAAAGCAGGCTGCCGGCCTAACCCAAACCTCCACCTCCGTCCGCACCGTTTGGGGTCCTTTGGGGTTGGTGTGGTGCCACGTCTTTGGTGAATTCCTGGGGCTGGGCGAAGAAGTGGGCCCCAAGGAACAGGGTTCGACCACTGGACTGACCTGCTGCTGCTGACCCCCCCCCTAACAAGAGAGCGCCCAAGCACTTCGTTGCACTGAGCGAGTCAAAGCAAAGCAAAGAGATGGAACCCTCAATGTGGGGTTTCGGGTCTTCTCGCGCGATTTGAATGAAGAACCCAGAGGGTCACGATCACTCAAAGAGACACCCGAGAATGACAACTCGCCTGCGTCGAAGCTGCATGGTAGTCGATACCCGCGCTTGAGCGAACCCTCGAGGGTCCCCCGGAGGTCTTCGAAGGCATCCCTGCCCTAGCAATTTTGTGCTCACATCTTCCAAATGCCCAAGCCCAGGCGCAGCTTCAGGGCCTAGTTTGCCCTGCCTGTTCTCAATCTGTTTGCGCAAGCACTAAGACAAAGTAGGGCCGTCCCCGAGACGCCAGCTAGGGCAGCGCAAAGCCGCATTACGATGCGTATCTGCGCGCGCCTTTGCAACACGGATGGGTGATCATTCCTTGTTACGGACACCGATTAAAGGCAGTCTTACGCGCAGATAAGATGAAGAAAGTGCAGAAAGGATGAATACACGCGAGAAAACATGCGTGGGCGTGTGCCGGGTGAATAGAACTCGCGAAAGATGATGACCCTCCGTGGGCGTTGGCGTCTCAAAGCTACCTCGGTCGCGACGCCTGACGCCTGACGGACGACGGGCTCGGAACAGTCTTGGAAAGAGCGCGGACCCGGGGCATCGGCGCGAAAGCGGCAGTTTTGCGTGAAAGGCGCGGCGCTGCGGCAAACTGAGGTACAGAGGAGCACTTTGTGGATTTGGGATCAGATTGCGTGGCGCAACACTGTGGCAGCCAGATGTGCAGATTTCGTGGCAGGCGCAGCGCATTCGCCGACTCAGGTGCAGATTGCGTGACAAGTGCAGCAATTTGGCAATGCTGGCGCGACGTGTCGCAAACCCGGCGCATGCAGGTTTCGTGGCAGGCGCAGCGCTCAGGTACAGATTTCGTGGCAGGCGTGCCAGTCTCACAACACTGCAGCAGAATGGATCTATTCAGACATAGCGATCTAGATCTAGGATGGGTGGATGGATGGATGTATCGACGGACCAGCAGACAGCAAGACCGATAGGTAGACGAGGTATATGGATTTGCAAGACTTTCAGATTGCAAAGAAGGAAAACAGATGCTAGGTAGTTGGCTAGCTAGGTAGATTTGATAGATGGACAGATGGGTAAACAGACAGATGGACAGATTGATAGGCAGACGGATAGATCGGGGTGGATGGACAAGTAGATAGCAAGACAGGAAGGTGGACAGATGTATAGCTTGATCGACAGCAAGATAGATCGATAGATAGCAAATAGACAGCAAGATAGATAGACAGATCGGTCGCTGGCAAGATAGATAGCTAGGTAGATGGAAAGAAAAAGGGTTCGAGAAAGAGAAAGAGAAAGACAAAAGGAAAGAGCAGAGAAAGCGAAGAGAAAGCGGGGAAGAGGAGAAGAGAAAGCGAAAGAGAAGGAGAAGAGGAGTTCGAGAAGAGAAGAGAAAGCGGAGTAGGAAAAGTGCGAGGGACAGAGAAGGAGAAGGAGAAGGAGAAAGAGAAAGAAAAAAGAGAGAGAACTATAGTTCCTATTCTAATGAAACTTCCGCCAGCCAGCATCGCCGGCTCCAACGGTCATACTTTGCGCAACCACAGGCCCCATGGCGTACCACTCTCATAAAGGGAGCCACAAGCAACATTCAGGTAGATGAAGGTTAAGGGATCGTCCCAACCAACCCCATGGTCCTCTCATAAACGGAGCCACAAGCAACATTCAGGTAGATGAAAGTTAAGGGATAATCCCAACCTTCACGCGCGCAAAGCACCCGCGCTTTTACTTCAACAAGAGATGGTTTTGGGCAGACCATGTCACGAAGGCTTCGATATAGATGGCTCTAAGGTGCTGAGGCGGCGGAGGTGCGACGCGCGGGGGTAGGATGAAGGTTTGTGTTCTTCTTCTCCGGCGTGCGTGGTGGACTTGCGAACTCCCGAGTTTTGACGGCTTTTTACAAGGCTCCTGATGAAAGTCCACATTCGCATGTCTCTTCTTGGGGGTTGGAACATCTTGGTTTATTTGAGTTTTTTCAGAGGAAGTGAGAATATCTCGAAGCCACGTTGCAAGGCTTCCCTGGAAACACCACCAAGAAGCATCTTGTGGGTTGGGGGGCATCTGCGCCAAGTCATGGGGGAGGGTCTTTTTCTTTTTTTGGATTTTCCTGAAATTGGTTTGGCCAAAACGCAACCCCAAAATAGAGCAGCAAACCTTTAAAACCCACGTGGTTGCGCATGGATGTCCAAACAGCACTGCAGTGCCGCAGGGCCGGGATCTGCATCTCCAGCTGCAACCGTGCGGGGCTCGAGAGAAGCTTTTTGGATGGGTTCCATGGGAGAACTTCGGATCAGCCAATCCTTCCTGGGTGGATGGAGTGTTGCTCATCGTGTCTCGAGTGTTCGAGTGTTTGCCCGGTGTCGAGTGTTCCAGTGTTCTGTCCAGTGTTTCACTTTTTGAGTTGGATGAAAGTCTACGACTGGTTGATCAACCATCTAACTGGCGCGAAGCGGATTTCGTCCGAAGTACGGAGGTGCGGGAAAGCGTTTCATGGAGGGCTCCTGACCCCGGAAAGAACTCTGGCGAATTTTGATCAGGGGCTTGAGGGGCCCTCTACCCCCGGTAGGATGGGATCATGAAATTCCGGGGTCAACGTTGCCTGGGTGTTCTCTTCTGAGAGCGTGTCCCGGGGGTGTCCAAAGATGAAGTCAAAGCTGGCTTGCTTGACGAGCAAATGAACAGCGGTCCGGTTCAACAAGCCATGGAGCAAACGCGCCTGGCACCAGCCAGAAAGGGAAAACAAAGCGCAGTGACGGTTTACTTCATAGGGTTTGTTATGTTACTTTTCGGTGAGTGGAAAACGACTTTGAGCCGGGAATTGGCCAATGGCAGAAAACCAGGAGTTGCTGATCGGCCCTTCCTGCGTTCAAGTCCTTTCGTGTCGGGATGCGCTATACATGTCGTGGCCAAAAAAAACGGCCTCCACTAAAAGGGTCCCCATGCGAGGCAACACCCAAATGGGAAATGGGCACGTGTGAAATTGGGGGGGGGGGGTGCAGAAAAAGAGTACTGTAGCTTTTCCTTTGGCTTCCCTTTAAACCACGCTGGAAAGGGTACCCTGAAAAAGTCACAGACCCGAATACACCCCAGGCCTTGCGCTGTTTTACGGAAGGTGCCAATGGAAATTCGGTGAAGGTCTAGGACAAGAAGATCTATGACATGGATCAAGAGGGGCCTTAGACCGCAAACTCAGGTGTGCGTTTCGTTGCCCGAACTTCTTCCCAAACTGCCTTGCAACATGACGACCTATTGAGAGGATTTAAGCGCATCCGTGGCTTGAGCATCTAGGACCAATCTTGATCGCAAACTCGGGACTCTCAAACTCCGGGGGTTTTCTTTTTACCCTTTGTCCAACAATCATGGAAGTGGACAAAGGGGTTGCCCAAAAGGCACATAGTCTTCCAAAACCCTCCTGTCAGCTTCCATGATTGTTGGAGGGAGGGTAGATGGTTTTCAAGGCAAAAGCCCCAAAGGAGGAGGCCCCCTTCTGCGGGGGGTTCCGAAGCCATTTTTCGAGCCCAGCCCCATGCTCCACGTTCGAAAAATGTTCGATGCCGGACCGAGGAGTTGGCACGAGGGTGGCCCGCCCGCCGACCGCCTCAGTCGTGCTTTGGTCGCCGGCGTTTTTTCTAGGTCCCGGGAGGGTTCACCGACTAAAATAGACTACTTGGTACCCTTATTCTAACCTCTCTGCTGGAGGACCTAGTTTTTGCTTGGTTTCGACCAGTGGAATCTTTCACCAGGTTCCCCCGAGGCCCCAACCCCACGTCGCCATGGTGGAAGTTGTTGGTCAGCAGCCCCATGCGAGCATGCGGAGAAGTGCGAGGGTTCCTTTGGCAGCTCGATTTGGGAGCTTTGACCATGACACATGTGGGCGTTTCTCAAGACAGTTGTTTCCTATTGATGCGAAAGGGGTCGCGTTTTGGTGCATCGATGTTTGGCTACCCAGCAGCCGGGAGCCGTGAAGGCTGCTTAGGCAGCCGAAGCCGAAGAGGCGTATGCAGGCAGGCAGGCAGGCAGGCAGGCAGCAGGCAGCCGAAGGTGCACCGTTTTGACCCATTTTAGTCTAGGTCCCCCAGCTAGGTCCCCTTTTCCCCAACTTTTTGGGGAGGGTTCCCCTACTAAAATAGACTACCAAAAAAACAGGTTGGTACCCTTATTCGAATTTCTCTACTGGAGGACCTAGTTAGTTGATTTGGAAGAGAAGCTGTCGGAGCGAACCCTGAGGGCGGGGTTGATTCAGATGGGGCTCAAAAGATGAATCACGTAAGGATTTTCGCTTTTTGAGGGACGTCTCTTGCCATCATTTCAGGGTTCTAAGGGTGCACTAAATATGGAATAGGTTGTATTTGCTCTGACTTTAAGACACAGACTTTAACACAATCTGAAAATGCGGGGATTCCAATGCCCACATTCTTTTTGGGTTGGGTGGAACCCATGGCGAATCGACTCGGTTTGAGCTCCGCCAGTTTCTCCGATCCAGTCATGGGCTCGCCCACTGGAACCCACTCCCCGAGTTTTTCCGCTCGGAGTGCCTCCCACTTTGGAGGCACCACCAATTCTTGGGGCGTGGCAGCTCCGCAGCTCGGGCTGGGAATGTCTGGGACCGAACGCTATCTGATCCAAGAGAAGTTCCGAGGGCTACCATTCAGCTAATGTTTTTTGAGCGCTGGCTGGCAACCACATCGGCTTCAGGGTTCCACTTTTTGACTACCCCAAGACGGACTAAAACTTAGGGGTTCTCCTTTTGGAGGACATTCACCACCCCTGGGTTTTAGTCTACCTTGGAATAGTCCAAAAAGTGGAGCCCTGATCTCGCCATTTCCTGCGGGGTTCCACGATCCGAGAGTTTCCAAGGATCCGAACCTCTCTGGGGCGCCCACCACGCCGGGCCCTCGAATTGAGTCTCGCGCTTCTTGGACGCGCCCACCACCGGCGCTTCCTCGGGCGCGCGCTGTCCGGTTGGCTTCGAAGCAACTTTTTCCTTCTGGCGAATTTCCTCTGGCTGGTCTCCCGCCAAATGGCGCCCCGGTTGGGATAGAATTTGGATGTGACACTAAGGTTCAGTCACGGTGACTGGGGCAACTGGGTTCTGGGCGTCAGGACACACCAGGGAATTACCCCCCCCCCCCCCCGCGCATGGGAAGGGACACCAAGAGAACACCATGCGGGATGTCTCAAAATTTTTGTTGGGCTTTCCCTCTTGAATGCGAACATCTTCGGACCCGGAAAGGTTGGAAAGGGAAAGCAGCAAGACCCGGTGCGGTTGGAAAGGGACGAAATCCATTTCGCACCACCTAAGGAGCCATGGCTGAAACTGTTGTTTGTTGGCTTTTACAGGGGAATCGACTCATTCCAAGTGGTGCGAACGGATTTAGTCCACAGTAAAAATCCCCGAGCCACATGCCAGCTCAATGACTCAAGGGCCCGGAGGATCCGAGCCACGAGGGTCTGAAATCTGCGACTTCCAGAAAAAAAACAGCTGCAAAAGGCAGGGCTCCTCAAAAGAAATCTCCATTTTGGTTTGTCCTATAGAACAGGCATTTTGTGGTTGTCATTCTTCTTCTTCTTCTTCTTCTTCTTCTTCTTTGTCCTAAAACCGGGATTCTTTGCAGGGCTCCTTAACAGAAAATTCATTTTGCAACCGTTTGAAACATGTGACTTTTTCAACACCAAGATAGGGGGAACCACCGCAATGCTCAGGTGTATAATGTAAGGATCCCTTAAAAGGGCCTATGCAAAAGGGTCACGCTGCAAGTTTGCGCCACGCTTGGCTCTTGTTTTTGGCAGCTCGCACAGGTCTTTGGCATAAGGCTGTTATTCAACCCCGCCGCTTAGGCTTTTCGCGCAGGCAGCTTTGGACACGCAGGGCGCAATCTTGTTCACCGACTAGGGCCGTGTTTTCTTATTTTTCCACCCGCCTTCCCTGCGGGTCTGGAGAAAAACACACCGGCCTTGTTGGCAGTTCTTCTGTTCTCGTTGGCCTTTGCAGAGGCCCCGAATCATTTGTGAGAATTATGGCTCAAATGTTGCTGGTTGAACCCAAAGGGCCAAACCCGACCAACCCAACCCAACCCAACCCAACCCAACCCAACCATCTCCAAGCAATTCCATGCAACACAACCAACCCAACCAACCCAACCAACTCCAAGCACCCCAACAAAGTCCAAGCAACCCAACAAAACCCAAGCAACCCAACCAACCCCGAGCAACCAAACCAACACCTAGCAACGACGGGAGGCCTTGGGCATGGGCGTTGCTTCGTTCAGCGAAGGAAAGAAGGTGCTGGCTTCTGGGGTGAGAAAACCGGGGTCGATCCTTCCATCATCTTTGCAATCCACCATTTACAGCCACCTTAGGCTCCTTAGGCAAATTAACCTCCATTTACCTAATTAGTCATTTGAATTGGGTCCCTTGCTGGCCGGACAGGGTTGAACGTTAGGGGCCCCTGAGAGGCTTGAAGGTTTGCTCGCGCCGAAATGCTCAATGGGTGGCCATGGCAGCGTTCGCCGACTGAGGGGCTAGGGACACAGGGCAAACATTTGTTTTTGTCTTTCCATGCGCGTGTTTTCTCGATGTTTTGAATGCTTCGGTTCTTTTCTTGGTTACGCTTGTTGAGTCAAGCGGGTTTCTTCACCCAGGTCATCATCACTTGGCCAGCTCCAAAAGTGAGACATGAGGCAAACCCGCCCAGACCTCCCCTTGTGGGTTGTCTTACAATCAGAAAACCCGCATTTGTTTGATGTTCCTTTTGGTTGCCTTTCAAAGCCAGCTCCCTTTTGGAACCCGCATTTTTGTTGGATTGTCCTTTCGGTTTCTCTTGAAAGCCGAGCAAACGGGTGTTTTTTTTCTTCCTTTTTTTCTCGGAATACTCCGAGGCTCCGAGGGTCTCGCTTTCCATGTCTCGCTTGGCGGGAGCTCCAGGCCCTATCCGGTGGCTCTAGGCTTCTTTCGCGAGGCCAGTCTGACAGGTTCGGAAGCTGCGAGTCGGGAATGACGAGTCAGGGCGTTGGTTGGAATGGACCGTTTTGGGAATTCCAAAAACGAAAGGAAAGACAGAGAGAGGATGGCTGAGTTAGAAATCATTCCAATTCTCATTCCCTGACAACCAGCCTGCTGTCTTCGTTGCAGGTGGGGCAATGTTTTTTCGTGGCCGGGTTTTTCCAGTGACCCTTAGTTGGTGGTTTGGATTGGGATTGCAACCCCAGCTTCTGTAGAGGGTAAATGGGACACCGCCCCTTAGCCAAGGGGGCATTTTCTTTTTGGCAGTTCAGCTTTTGTTGAGGCAATTCAAAGCCTTGTTCTGGGCTTCAGACTTGAAACGTAATGAACATGTTTAACCTTAATAAACCATAATAACTATGTCTACCATATCTCTAGGGGTTGATTCCTTTTCCATTCTTTTCAACCATCGTTCTTTTCAAAAACCGGATGCGTTTCCTTTTTTTTAATGGTTTCCTGAAAAGAAGGCACCCCTACCATATCTATGACACCGGTGATTTGAACGCCTTCCGTGGGACGATGGCTCAGTCCATGCAACAAACATCCGCCAGGTCTTGGACGAGTACTCCATCCTTCGCGCACAGGCGGGGCGGGGCGGGGGAAAAAATAGTAAAAGGAGAATTCAAAGAATTATTCTTTCTACTATTTTTTTTCCAACAGCAACACAACAAACAGAAAACAAAATCCAGAACAACAAGCAAACAAAATAAATAATCACAACCACCAACAAAAATATTTAATCACAGCATGCAACATTAAATAATTCAATCAAGCATACCAACAAAACAGCAACACTCTAAATCATCAAAGAACCCAAACTCAAAAACACACATCAACAAAAAACAAAGCAACATACCAACAAAAAATATCACAAGAGTATCAAACAAAACAAAAACAAACAGCCAAAGCACGAAAAAATCAAAAGAGCATGCCAAGTCTAAACAACGCACTTTGAAAGAGATGAGCAAATTAGGAAAATATAATAATTCAATCTTTACAACCGATAATCATACTACAATTATAACATATAATATTTTACATGTGATAATCATAGTATGAGTTCAACTTTATTCTAATTAATTTTAAAATTCTCTTTCAATTCGTTTCACTATTTTATCAGCTGTTTTTCGATTATAAATATTATTTCCTATTTCTTTTACAAACGCCTTCATTACACTAATTGCAAGTCTTGCTGTGTATCTAAGTTCGTGAGCTTCATACTTACAATTTAAAAACTCATTTACAAAATCAAAGTCATTATCATTCAATGCTTCGTATTTTCAACGTTTAATGCTAAAAGACATATTGTATAATCTTTTTACCAGGCTATAATACTTATAAATAAAACCATTCACATATCCATTATCTAATAAATTATCAAATTCTACTTCAGTCAAGAACTTATTCATTTCAATAAAAACAAATATTTCTAAATCATCATCAAGAGTTTCAGCATTTCTAGTATCAAAATATCTGTTGTTCAAATCATCAATTTTGTTTATAATTCTATTACAATTAGTGCATATCATACATTGACAAATATCATTACTAACACCATCTATAAAACCCTGTTGAATTGTTAACTTTAGCATCTCACAGTCTTTACATTTGTAATTCATAAACTTTTGTTTCAATACATTTTTAACATCAATATCTTCATGGACAGTATCACTAAATTCACTATACACACTTTCTATATCACTATATTCACCATATTCACTTTCTGTATCACTCATTTCTATCTTAATATATTAAGTCAATATTTCTTTAAGTCGTTTTCAAAGAATTTATTTTATAATGGCCGTAAGCAAGTGAGTTTATACTATCTATCCAATATTTTTTGTTTTCATAACTACTAAGAGCAATTTTTTTAGTTGCTATACTAAAAATTCTGTGGTTTTTACTTCTAATACTATTAAATGACTTATGTATAACCTTATTAGTTTTTAAAACCGTCTCAAACTCTTCATATTTCATTTGACGTCTTACTGTGCCTTTTGCTATGCCCTTACATTTCTTATATTTTTTTATCATCACCATAAACTGAGTAAGCATAGCATTTAGGACGAAGGGCTATAAACCCTGTTATTATTTTACTTTTTAATTCATCCTTAAATTTACCTAATACTTTCTTGTTATTATCATCATAACATTTATGTTCCTTAGGATAATCTGAAAAATCTAATTCTTTTTTAATTGTATTCAGGTCTTCATAAATGTCATTGGTTTTAGTATGAAATACAAAACTATCAGTATCAGTATATACCATTTTAATATTATCTCCATATTTAGGCTTCATAACGTCATAATAAAATTTATACATGTGTTGCTTACTCAAATCTAAAATACTCATCCCAATAAATATAGGTTTGTCTAGTTTCAACTTTGTTTTTTGCTTTTCAACTCCAACCAAATTTTCATTAATGATATGACTATGTTTGAAGTTAGGATTACTTACACACTTCATATATCTAGTTTCATCACTCACAACCTCAAAATCTAAATGTTCCTTTTATCCTCCGTTGTTTTTCCAAATATGGCATTGTTCATCAATTTGTAAACATCTTTCTCAAAATCATTTCTAGCATTCTTCCTCTTCTCAGTGTTAAACTCAATGTAAGGTTTTAAAACTTCTTTTTGTTCAAATTTAATTGCTCTATGAATTTTCTTAAGTTTTAACCCTTGCTTCAAATAAAATTGCAAGGTTCTTATATGGATTACATATTTTTCTTTATCATTTAAATTCAATACTAATTTATTTGTTTTCTCATCCGTAGGTTTTTTATGATTTAAAAATTCATAAATTTCAATTTGTTTATCTGACAGCATGTCGGCTTTAACATTCATAACCTCAGGTGCCATTGGATAGTCATTGTGTAAATCGTGTAATTCTTTAGGATATTCTAAATCCACTTCTAGAATATATCCAATATTATTATTTTTGTAATTAATAATGTCTTCTTCTTTTAATGTATCATCCCATTTTATATTTTTATATGGCAGTTTTTGTATCATGCTTAACCCGTACAAATTATTAGCATCAAAATAGTTAATATAACTACTTTCTTTATTTTTATCATATTCTTCTCCCATGTATTTATTATTTGCTTCAACTTTTTTAGTAGAAACCATACACATCCCGCCTCTAAGTCCCGCTTCTATCATTTCATACATTTCTTGGTCATATATTAAATCAATCTCTACACCAGTCATTTTAAGCATAGCATCAAAAGCAAAGTTAGGCAATGTATAATAATAAGCAGGGTCCAATCCATAATATTTCATACATACATCTCTAAAATTTTCGAAAATGTCAGTCAATAATAATACATCAGTTTTCAAATATAAATCATGGTATTCACCCATATTCTTAATGTCGAAATGCTTCCATATAATTTTTGCCCTTTCATAGTCGTTAACACTTATACCTTCTTCACTCAACTGACTATAAAAATCATCCTTACTCGGTAATTGCTCATCATCAAATTTATCAAATGAATTCATGTAGTCATAAGGATAAACGCCTTTATCAGTTAATAAATCTAGACATTTCTCACTCTTAATCAAATCATTTTTACTACTGAACCTAAAATTATCTTTCCAGTTTTCACGCAATAACCATTTACTTTTATCTTCTTCATCTGTATTGTCATACTTACTCATTGAAACTAACTTATCTAATGAAGCAGTTAAAAACCCAAAAGTGTCTTTAACACTCAAACTTTCAAAACTGATATTAATAAATTTTTCACTGTTCTGAGCGATGACACCTATTTTATTGTTGTTACTTAATTTATCAGCATTTTGAATAATTAAATGACCGTCATAATTTTTCATGTTATGAAAGAATACTGGAATTTTAAAATATCTATTACAAAAATTAAGATTGCAAACATTATGAGCACAACCTCTATACTTACCTGTAAAATGACAATGGTCTCTAACTTTTCTATATTTCTCTGCTTCCTTGGCATTCTTATAGTTCATTCTAAACTTGTTTCGCGAAGCTGACGCATCGCTCAAGCGAAATGCGTCTCCACAAATAAAGCAGTTTTTAGCATGTTTAAAATCTTCTTTGTCTTCATCATTCATGTCTATTTTTTCGTTTTCTCCCATCTTCTCCTTTACTTCTGCCCTAATGTCATTAAGTTTTTGACAAAACACATCAACAGCATCTTTACCGCGATACATAAATTCATAATTTGTATTATCAACAGCATTAACCATATTAAGCATAAAACCACATGGTTTATGCTCTTGATAAGAAAAAGTGTTTTTATCTTCATCTTCATCAGGTTTTTTCAGTTCCTCTGTCAAACATTCAAAATCAGCATATACAACAAAAGGACATCTTAACTTTTTGAAGTGATGCTTAAAACTAACTTTCTCATAAGGCTTAGGCATTACTATCTGCTGTCCATCAACTTCCATACATCCGCTATCATAATGTTTATTTAATAATTCTTCATTTCTAAATCCATGATTACAATATTTACAAAAATAGGACTTACCATTATGATTGCTTTTTTGATTATTAATAAGTCTGCTCAAACTTTTTATATACACATAATGACTGCAATCCTCATCATCAACTCTTAACAAATCAAAATGAAAAGAAGCATCTTTATTTTTCAATTTTCTACTAATAACAATTTGTTCATTATCATCAATTTCATAAACATTAATGGATATTGATTTATTATTTTCTTCAAATATATCTATATCATTATTATTAGCAGGAAAACTCACACCATCAAAAATCAAATCACTTGCTATCTTCTTGTAATGAAACATCTTTTCAGGGTGTGCTTTATCACAAATTTTACAATATCCACACTCAATAGAATATTTAAAACACTTGTCATCTTGATTTTTAATATTGATACATGCCTTTTTCTTTTTAATCCATTCTGGAAGTTCAATATATTTGCCAGCTCTAGTCGGATTATATTTATTATACATGATATGAATATTATTAATATTGCTAATTATTAATCCTGACTGATACAAAGCCATATCTAAAATTCTTGTTTCAACATCAGGTCTCATTCTTTTCAAAGCATTCCTTAAATCCTCTTCATTTACAATAGTGTACGACCTTGTCCTAACTGTTACGTTTCTCTCCTCATCAAATAAGTTCATAACTTTCATATTTATTGTAGCATTAAGTTTCATTCCTCTATTCTCTTTCAAGTATTCATTAAGTTTGTCAAATTGATAATTAAAATAAGTCAATCCGTTCAACTCTTTTAAATGAATGTTTGAAATTGTGTAGGCGTTGGCATATGCTCTAAAGGCGCTTCTTTCTTCTGTTATTACTGCTTTTTTCTTAATAGCATGTTTTAAAACCGTTCTTGCTCCTACTCTTTCTCTGATTTGATTTGCTTTGTAGTCATTAGTTTTCTTTACTGCTTCAAGTCTCTTACTCAATCTATTGCTTATTGGTTTTTCTGGATTATATCTATACTGATTGTTTCCTATAATTATGGTTTTAAGTTTTTTACCTTTATTATTTACTTTGTATTCTCCTAAATTTTCTTTAAGAAGATACTTAACTATTTTAGTGTTTTCATCTGGCGGTAAA